AAAAAAAAAGGATGGAAGAATATATGTAGCGAAAGGAGGAAAAACCCCCAGAAGGAGAAAACTAAGATATAAGAAGAAAAAAAAAGAAGAAAAAAAACACTTTCGAAAGACATCGCAGGCCTTTGTTTATAAGACGAAGATGAGAAATGTCTCTTCACACTATGTTCGTAAATCCTCCAGTCATCGTCACCATAACCTATCAGAAAGGAAAGGGCGAAAAATGGAGGTGGCTTTGAGAGGAACAAGAAATCCCCCAAAAAATCACAAAAAGATTGCTTAACAAATTTGATCCGACCCAGGCTCGATCTGGGGACCTTCAGTGTGTTAGACTGACGTGAATAACCAACTACACCATCGGACCTGTTGTTGTTGAAAATCCGAAAAGAAAATTTTGCTTATGAAGGCATGGCAGCGCATGACTCGTGAGCACGGCGAGCTACGGTATCCCGGCTACTTCACCATAGTGTCACCAACATCTTGGTCTACCATAGACTTCGCACTTCGCAGAGCATGGGGAGACGAGACATCCACGACAGTTTCCATATGTGCAAAAGACTATTGTAAAAGCAGCAATATCTTCATTTCTTCGTATATACGTCGTCATCAACATTCATATCCAAATTCATATCCCAAGCATCCAGCCCACATGTCCAAACCCAGCCCATAATTTCCCCCCCAAAAAATCATATCCAAAAGTGTTCCATCCCATCCATCAATCATTCATTGAATCTCCCCTCCCCACTTTCCAACGTCCACTGCAGTCACTCCTCAAAAAACACTAACAAACCCCAACCCCCCGCCACCGCCTTAACCCGTCCATTAATCCTCAACGGACTACCCTCATACACCAAAAAGTGTCCTTCCTCCACCTTCGGCTCCTTCGCTCCCAAAATCTTATACACATTCCCACTAACCAGTCCCAACGCGCTCTTCTCGCTCAACTTGCCGCCTCCATTCGCATACGCAATGCCGGCCAGCAATCCGAGGTCTCTAACCAGCCAGTCCTCCTCGAGACCAATAGCCGTGGTGACGCCAGCGTCGAGAAGCACGTCGATAGCCGTGCCGTTGGTGAGCGGCGCACCGGAGAGAGCGCGGCGCTGGTCCCATGATGTGGCGTAGCTTTGGAGAGGAGCGAGGACGACGCCGACGTTCGCGGCAGCGAGGTCGTCGGCTACGAGGTGGGATTCGGCGCCGCCGAAGATGGCGAGGTGGATCTTAGTGCCGGTGACGGCCTCGACGTCCTTCTTGACCCGGAGGGCGGCGGCGATGATGTCGGCGTTGTGGATGGTGAGGACGAGGGGGAGGGAGCCGTTGACGACCTTTTGGAGGAAGGTGGACTCGGCGTAGATGTCGGCGGGCTCGATGTCTTCCTTCTTCTTGAGCTTGGTGGCCGCCTGAAGAAGTTTGCGGCGGAGGGCGCCGACGGCAGCGGACAGGGAGGGGATGCCCTCGGCTTCTTTGGCGTCGGGGTCTAGACTGTAGTGGACGGCGACGTCGCTGGCGAAGATGGTGCCTTTGGCGAGAGAGTTGGTGGCACCGGTGAGGAAGCCGACGCTCGTGCCGTGGTGGGTCTTGCCGCCGGTGAACTTGGGCGCGGTGATGGCCTTGGTGACACCGTACTTGTAGGCGGCGTGCAGCTTCTTGGTGTCGAGAGTGAGAGCGTCCTCGGCGCGGGTGAAGACGTTGACGTTGTCGCCGTTGTCGGTGGAGTCTTCAGCGTCGATGGCGTTTAGGCCGATCTGGGAGCCAAGGGCCGTGAAGGAACCGGTGAAGTGACCGTCCTTGAGCGCAATGACGGGGACCTTGGAGGTAGTAGCCATGCGCACCTCATCAGTACAGACACCGATGCAGGTAACCTTGCCGTTGCGGATGACGGCGCTGTAGGACTTGTCATTGCTTCCACCCTTGACCTCAACGTCGGCAAGAACCTTGGTGATACCAGTGAAGACAACCGAGTTCATCTCGACAGGTTCCTCAACAACGGTAGCGGCGCTCTCGTCGGGGAAGATCAACTTGGGAACCGGCTTGTTCAGCTCGATGGGGTCCTCGTACTGGGCAGTACCGTCAATCCACACCTGCACAGGAGTGGCGCCGACCTCGAGAGGATCACTGTCCCAGACAACGACATCGGCATCAAATCCAGGCTTGATCTTGCCCAGTCTGTCACCAAAGCCAAGACGCTCAGCCGGAGCGGTAGTCACGGATGCGAGGGCAGCGTGGTAGGGCAAGCCATACTTGTGGCCCTTGGCGGCCTCAAACAGAACGTGCTGAGCGTTGAGAACCGGGTTGTCGCTAACATAGATGGGCGTCAAGCCGTTATCCCAAAGGTACATTCCAGCAAACTCGGAACCGACGTAGGACTCGGCCTTGTAGTACATGTTGTCGGCAAAGATGGCAGAGGCAGGAGGGTCACCACCATAGGCGCGCTTGAGAATCTGTTTGGTTTGTTAGCAACAGGACAGCCTTGAAACCCGTGTCGATTTTGACTCACCTCTGGTACCAAATAGGTCTGATGGGCATGATGGAAGGCCCGGACCTTGAACTTGAACTCGTTGGTGTGATCGACGAAAGCCTCGAGATCGGGAATGGTGTAGCAGTGAGTGTTGAGGTGAATCTGACCGCGCAACAAGGCGCCGAGCGACTCCCACTTCAGTTCCTGGGGAAGATATCCCTTCACGTTCTCCACGCCGACTGCAGCGGCGGCATCACACCAGTCATCCTGGTCGCGCACCAACTTGCTTGCCTGCTCAAAGGCGTGACGAAACTCCCAGCTCTCGCCCATACGGCTGGTAGGGCCCTGGGTTCCGACTCTGCCGTAAACGCGCTTAGCATTCTCACCGCAGGCCATCTTCATGAACCTCCAGTTGCGTTCGGGATCAGCCAGCATGTCGGCGGCACTGGTCTCGTTGCGACCATCGGGCTTGCCGACAGCCAGCTTGATAGCATAAGCTTCACCGCCCATGTTGTTGCCCGAACCGGGCAGAATCAAGCTGGTGGTAACACCGCCGGACTTGATAACCTGGATCTGGTGGTCATCGGGCTGGATGCCGTCGATGGAGCGGACAAAGGGGGTGATATCCGCCGAGAGTTCATTGGTATCTTCGTTTCCGTCAAGGCTAGGCAACGAGTCTACGCCGGCATGGCTGTGCATGTCGATGATGCCGGCGGTAAGGGGACGGCCCTTGGCGTCAAAGACATGAGTGCCCTTGGGCAGGCTGGAGGCGGAAATGTCGGACTGGACCTTCTTGATGAGGCCATACTCGAGGTAGACGTCGGCCTTGATCCAGCTGTAGCCTTTACCCTTGCGCGCATCGGCAGCAGAGGTGCCCTTGGCCGGCTCTCCAACCCAGACCGTGGCGTTCTTGATGAGGGTAGGGGCATGGCCGTCGATGTAGCGGGCATTCTTCTCGCGACCCTCGCCGATGGGGTCCTGGGGCTTCTGGCGCAGCTTGGAGCAGGTGGCGAGGTCGTCGTGCAAGCGTTGCACCGACAAGCCGTGGACCGTGACGTTGCCGTTGACGGGCTCAGAGCGTGAGGGAAGCTGTTTCCACTGGGCATAGGCGATGAAGCCCATGCAGGCGACCGCGAGGAACTTGAGGCCTCTGGACCGGCGCATCTTCTTCCTCTTCCATGCCGGAGGGGGAGGCGCTATGGCGCTGTATGGGGGCAGTCCGCCGCCCTTTTCGTCCATTGTTGATGTGGTGATGTTTTGCCGTTGTCCCCACAACCAAGATTGGACTGTTGGACAAAAGTAAGTGGCGGAAGTGGAATGAGGGACGGAGGAGGTCGGGAATGAAACTGGAGTACGGCCCCGCGGGAAATGGCCAAACTTGTAGCACTTGAGGGGCGCTACAACTGCACTGCCTGGAGATGTCGTGATGCGACACGCGGACAGCTCTCGGAGGTGCAAACAACTCAGAAGGAGCTGTGACTGTGAGGAGTAAAGCGGGGGAGTTCACGCATTTGGCACAACACGATTGGTCAATTCTCAGTCCAGGTACCCGCCATCCCATCTTCAGTCAGTTCGTCATCCAATCGCCGACTGCCTACAGGACCCTAGGGACTCAATTCGGAAGGTGCCCGGGTCTCGGCATTGATAATGACCATGCAGCGGTTATCGCAAGTTTAACAGTTTGAATAGCAGCAGCGCTAGCGCTGTGTTAGTGTAAGATAGGCCCTCTAGATGGACAACTTTTGTACATGGCTCCTGTTTGGACTCGGATTTCCAGTCGCGATAACTTCAACTTGACATGGGATACCAATTTGTCACATCCACGAATTCTCGACACATCAACCCACGGCAGTCCGAGATCCAGTACGACGCCCATCAGAGAAGAAATCAGCGCTTACGACTCTGACTCAGCAACGTTGTCAACGTTGTCGTCATGGAACGCGTCCACCAGCCACGCCACATCGCGGCGCAGCCGAAACTGTTTTACTTTGCGGAAGTGACTATGTGACTACGACGAGGACGACGACGAGGACGACGACGACAATGATGATGATGAAGCTGCCACGAACGATATGCCTGGTCTACATCTCTTTCCGCCAAGAAGATGTGGTCGATCATTCACCACTCTCTCATAGCTCATCTCCCAGCTGATGATCGAACCAATCCCGGTCTGTGATCAAACTCCAGCGCAGACAACTCAGCAGCAGATTCCCAATACCCTTGCGACGGCTGGCCCTATTTGGACCTTTCTCAACTACTTCACCTTCCGGCTTGCCTGGATTGACATTAGTCGATAGAAGTCGGCATCTCACTCTCTGGTTCCAAGCAATCGGTCACCACAGGTGCCGCCGACACGGCACACTTGTCTCACCAACTGGTTCAAAACGTAGGTGCTTTGTTGCAGGAAGCGCACCTTGTGTACCTTTGTGGTACACTTTTCTTAAAAACTTTTCCCAGCCTTCACAACAATGGTCGTCGGAGCCGCTCGTCCTACCAGCATGAAAACATCGTGGTCCTATCTTTCCCTCTTCAAGATCCCATAGCACTTCCCTTTGCTGGACACACGCCTCAAGTCCAAGAACAGATGGCTGGGTATCCGCAGTTTGTGAAGCCCGTCCACAGGCATTTGCTATACCGTGGTACAGTTGGATGGGCGAGTACGCCTGGTCACAGATATCTGGACTCTAAAGGAAGAGGAGCGATGGAGGCTCTCACAGCCCTTATTCCCCCCAAGCAATCCCTCCTATGTTTTCCAAGCGAATTCTATCGATTGCACTCTTACCGACATCATGGCCTCTTCCATTATCACTCGGAGCCTTCTTTTTAGCTCTCTATGGTCGAGTCTGTCCTCGGCATTGATCCTTCCGACATCTTCCCCTCAAACAGACATCTTGAGCGCGAGGTCAAAACCTCCCAAGCTTCAGTCATCATGGAATATTATGGGCGCTCTTTTTCCTTGCGTCTTCATCATTATTGCCGTCTACTTTCTCGTGGAGCACTGCTACGTACGAGCGAATCGAGGTTTTGACCAGGTCGAATCTCCTCAATGGACCTCATCGCAACTGGGCGAAGACGGGTATGTCAGAGAAAGACACAATTCTCATTGTAACTTTTCAACCACTGACTCAACGTTACTATCCCCAGCCCTGAATACCAAGTCGTGTGGTTATCAGATCTGCTGGGTGTTATGGTGACGAGTGATAGGGAGATCGTCGGTATGGCTCGTCGGCAACCCCCCGAAGAAGAAGAAAGTTCGTCTGGGATAACCACGACCACCTCCACTTCGTCGGCTTCATCAAACGCGGTACCGGTACCCCCAAGGCTGTACGCCTTGTGATGACGAGCTTCAGACGAATTCGATCCGAGGGTGGAGAGAGAAAGGGGCTGGTACCCGAGATTATTCATAGTATGAATGGCAGGCCAACAGCATCATTTATGACGGAAGCCATGGATCCTTCGCCTGCTATGGTCTACAAGATACGCGAAGGTGGTCAATTCCACGGTCTGGGACCAACCTTGTTGGACACGATGGGCTGCACGTGAGAACAACGCTATCCAGGGCCATGGAAGCGAGAAACCTTGTCCACCTGCTCGGGCTCCGAGGCGGAAAAGACACGAAGACGAGATGGAGTTCGCCAGCGAAGCTCAATCCTGTTGGCCCATGCATCAACACAGTCGAACCGAGCTTGAAGATTGCGCCGTGGTTAATTACTCGAAGCGATTTGCAGCGTGCAAACTGGACAAAAGGCACGGTCTGGTCCGGCCAACCTGTTCTACTTGGTTTTTTCCCACTTTCCTTCTTCATGAGCTCAACTCTTTTCGGCCGCTGCCTTATCCTTTCTCGGTCAAAGATCAGCGTTTGCCTGGACGATGAAAAATGGTTCGGAAATTCGATGGACGAACATGTGCCCCTTTGAACCCCATCACGTGTACCTGGTCTCTAGCAGCCGTTCAGGTGAGCGTGGGTGACGAGGTTCTCACCGCCGACTCTTTCCCCGTTGAGTTTCTGTCCACGGCTCCCCATCGTCACGTATCGTGATCGGCTTCGGATCAGTGATGGGATCAACCTCGGATCTGCCATGACCTGTGCGCTTCCCGTCCGTCGCTCACCATTTGCTCGCCCTATCGTTTGTGGGGTCTTCGGCTTCCTCAAGATCTTCATACACAAGTTCCATAACCCCTCAGAATTCGACCAGGACGCGCAGGTATCCCGACTCAATCCTGCAGCCCGAACCCAAAAGACACCAAGTTGTAATGCCACTCAAGCCGAAACACTCTTGAATTGCGCTGCAATTTGCAGACAGGAACCGAAAAGGCCGGACACAGCGTCTTTGTCCCTTTCGTTTAGCGCGCGGAGCTCGGGGCACAGACGTGAGGTACTGGCAATTTTGCTGATCGACAACTAAATTGTCTCGAAACAGCAATCGTATTCTTCATCAGCCAAGTCAGCCGCTGCAACGCCGGCATTTGTCTTCTGCACAGACTCGCCGACCAAAACTGGCGTCTTCTGCCAACTATCGTCATCCCAAGCCGCGGAAAAGCCACGCTGGTGCCGTTGCCCGCCAACGGTCATGATCAAAAACTTGGAATTTTTGTGGTCCTAGGGTCGAGTGTAACATCCTCGTCGTCGAGCTCGGGGTGTTTCACGGTCAGTGTGTCCCCTGAGGGGAACTAATGATGGGTGCCAAGCGGGAGCTACGGGGAAGTCGAAATTGGGGGCAGAGTGCGCTATGCCGCCCTGGGAATAGCTTCAGGTACAGACCACCATTCGACAAGGGCCGTCCCGTCGATCTTTACCGAATCTATGGTTTAACAACGGCCTCAACCCAACTGCAGTCAATTCCTTTTCACCTCCTGGTCCCCTTTCTACCTACTCCAACCGGGGCAGCCGCGGGAGGTTTAATATTCCAATTGCACGGTTCAACTCGTTCGGCAACAGAGGCCAATGTGCGGCCCATGCATTGAAGATTGACTGCCGTTGCTTTTTAGCACTTTCCTTTACGGTCCAGCCCCGGCCCTCAACATCCGTGATTCGTCCGTGCTGTGCCCGAAAGTGCTTGGCCAGAGGTGACAGGATGGGACTACTTGTGAAGGATCCGGATTCTATACAGGACCCATTTTCATTGCCTCCAGGCTAGATTTCTTTTTAGTCTTCTATCATCTCCGCTTCATGCTGCCGGATGCGTCTCGTCTGTTCTCTTCCTCTCCTCTCCGTCTCCTAATTGTACCTCAAGATCCTATAGATCCCTTCACTCTTTTGGGACTTGGATACTTGCCACTCGTTTTATACCAGTAAAGCGTCCGCAATAACCATAACCAATGACCACTGGACGACTTCAACGAAACAAGCACGCCCATATATCACACTCTTTGTGATCCACCTACGGCACCGAGACCAGTCGAAGGATGGACAACCAAGAAGGGTTCGACGATGGGTTCGACCATTCGTTAGAAAAGCGGACTATCAAGGAATTCTTCGATAAGCTCTTCAGCCCGTGGTGCAAGGCTTTCCCAAAGTCACTGGGATGTCCTAAGCCAGAAGAGCCAATGGAGGAGACACCGCCGGCCACGACGCCAACACCAACACCGGCACCGGCACCTGTTGCAACCCAGCCTCCTGCAGTTGTAGCACCACCGCCGGCCGAAACAAAGCCCACGAGTCCTCCCGTGGTCACTCAACCACCGGTAGTGGTAGCACCACCAGCCACTACTGCTCCCGCAGTCGTGAAGTCTTCATCAACAACTAGCATTACGCCACAACCAACGAAGGAACCCGAACAAGCGCCGGTATCAAATCCTGGGTCGGGGTCAAGTGGGGGATCTGGGCAGGGCAACGGATCAGCAAGCGGTTCTGGTTCAGGTGGCGCGGATAGCAACTCCGGGAATGCTGGAAATGGAGGCTCCGACTCTGGTCACGGAAGCGCGGAACCTGTCGGATCTGATAACGATAACAACGCCGCCGTCCCACCACTGAGCGTGACTTCGGATAAAGCTGAAGTACAGCCCACGGCTACTTCAGGCAGCCATGCTGGGAACGGATTTCTCCCTGGAAAGGTCCTGCTCGCCGCTCCAGCGCCGGTTGCGAGTCACTCATCCGAGTCGGGCGACAACACCGCTGGGGATGAGAGTGGTGATGCTAAGAATGGAGATAACAAGGATGGGGATAGCAAGGATGGGGATAGCAAGGATGGGGATAGCAAGGATGCGGATAAATTGGTAGAAGGTTCTCAGCCTTCGCCTACTTCCTACCATTCGGCAATCCAGCATAACGACCAAAGCATTCCTACTACGCTCTCCACTGCATGGATCGCCGCTGGCACCCCCACAAGCATTCCGTCAGGGTCATCGGGAGAGAGCACCGTCCCTGGACAAGTAGCTGGATCTGATGACCCCTGGAACCCGGAGCTCAACCCTACTCCCGGCTCAACCCACACCCAAACTGGCGGAGGCGCAACCGCAAGCGAGACTCCCGCCGTGGACGCGCCCAAGACCAGTTCCACGGGTCTCGTATCTGGTATTGCCGGTGGCGTCATCAGTAAGTCACCCCATCCATCACCTTTCCACCCCCCCAAAGCCATCTCACTAACATCTCCCTTTAGCCATCGTGATCCTCTTCCTGGTCTTATTCGTCCTCCTCTTCAAATACCGCCGCCACCCCCGCGTCCAAAACTTCCTCATCAAGTACACCCCCCTGAAAGTAGCCGCCTACACCAAGCGTGACAAGAAACGTTCCTCCATGGGCAAAGGCCTACTCTACGAAGATGAGCCATCCTCACCCACCTCACCCACCATGCAAGAAAAGGGTAAAAACATGAACTACGGCACCATCCTCCCCGCCCCCGTCACCCAGCCCAACCCTACGGCCTGCCGCTCCCCCACCAGAACCAACCAAACACCACCACCGCTCATCGACACTAGCACCCACAGTGCTGGTGCCAGCGTCGGTGCCGGTGGTGTCAGGTCCCCAAGGTCACCCAGGTCTCCAACACCCGATGGATGCGGCCACAGCATGTTCGAGCGCTCGCCCACCGGAATGTCCGATTACTTCCCTCAACCGCCCTCTCCCACACACTCCAACCACTCGCGCGACGCGCGCAACAGTGTGGACTCGCTCGGCGGAGTTAGTATCGCCAGCAGCGGCATCTTTTCGCCGAGCATGATGTCCTGGACCATCCCACCTTCTACGGCCGATAGCGCTACCGTTTCCTCCAGGGCCTCGCCGCCGAGTACAAGCCATAGTCAGGCAATGCACTTCCAGCCGTTGCAGCCTACGCCGCCTATGCCTGTGCCCGGGAGCCAGAGGCATAGTCTGAAGAGGGAGTCACTGGTGCTGGGGTTGAAGAGGATGTCTTTGTCGAAACAAGCGAGCCCGAGGGAGGGCCAGGCGGGACCGTCGAATTGGCGGGATAGTAGACCTGATTCGTGGGGGTTCTGAGTTTCTGAGTGTCGACTTGCCTCAACAAGCCCAATAAAAACGAGAAGGAACCTGAAGTAACTTAATGTCTAAATGACCAGAGGCATGTGTAATGGGATCGAGCTGGATATTTGCGGTGCGGAACGGTACAACCAAGAAACACGAGCGCTTCAATCCCTTTCAATCAAGTTACCTTGTTTGACGGCGTGGCCTCACAAGTCTTGATCTGGACTCTGAAGGCCGCAGCTGTACCTAAGACTGCAATATTTCCTGGCTTCCTTGAATTACCTACCTCTAGGTTTTCCAGACTAAATAACGGCAATCGTCACATGCATAAGTGGCATCTTTTATCTCTATGTCTATGTCTACATCAACGTTAATGTTCATGTTGTTACCTATCTTACCTACCTGTATCTATACATGTATTATTGTTATGTTATGTACTAGTTAATGATATTGTGTGATCAACTCGACGACGCTCTCATAATTTCCCAAAAAAAAAAAAATTTGAGATATTGAAGTTTATGTCCTCTACCTCCTCCAGTCGCACATCAATTCTTCGACCCCATCGCTCCTCAGCAGCGTACAAGACATACATCAACCACAATCATGACTTTGCGCTCTCGCTTCAGTTGACACAACATGAACACCACAACCCCTTAGGTATCGGCTTGTCAAGTCACGACTTCTACAAGGAAGGTAAGCCCGTCAAACCATCTTCTGCCCCTCATGCGATAACACTAACTCATTTACCACCGTATATACAGGGAGATATATCTCACCCAACACTGTTCCTAGAGGTACCTAAACCTCCACTCCCTTACCACCGACCCCAGCCTTCTTCTCCTCCTCCGGTACCCTCCCCATCTCCCTTATCTTCGCCGCCAAATATATCCCTTCAGAAACGAACCGATTCCAATAATTCTGCTCCTTACCCACACCCACATACTTCGCGTTCCACCTGTCGCTCAAAGCCGGCAGCTTGGTAACAACCACCACCGGTGATCCATCCCGCTTGACCTTGATAACCTCCGTCTCGACCTTGCGCAAGTTTTTCTCCATCTCTAGTTCCAGGACCCGGTCAACTGCCTCGAAGTTCTTATTAGCAACATCTTTCGTGTTACCATCCCAGCCATTGGGCGCTAGCTCCAAGAGTGCCTTGCGCATCGCCTTTTCCCACTCTGTTCTGCTGTGGCCCGTGGGTAGGATGGGGTCGATCCAGCGGGTGCTTCCTGATGGGAATTCTACGGGTTTGTCGACGTCGTCGTCCTGCTCCTGCTGAACTTCCTGGACTTGCACATCCCCTGTCTGAGCAGACTTATTGCCCGACGACTCTGGTCCTGATACTGATCCAGACCCCGATCCTGATTCCCAGGAATCCAACAATGTCAATCCAGAAGTTGATCCAGACCCGGGTACCACCTCCGTCGCCGTCGCCGTGTGACCTTGCTCTTCTCCTTCCCCTTCTCCTTCTCCTTCTTCTCCCTAAAAGAATCAGGATTAAGCGCCACCAACGTACTCAAAAGCGCTCTGCGCGTGCTAACCTTCACCTCAACCTTTCTGATATTCAAATTCGCGCACCCGGGAGCTTTCGCCCACGCGCCAGCCTGTTTGCTAGGCGGAATCACGTAGCCGTGCGTGACGTTGCAGAACAGGACCCAGAAGCTGAGAAAGAACGAGTTCCAGTCCTTGGTAGCGGCAGCCGCGACGGCGAGGGCCCATTGGCTTATGACCAAAAAGCGGAGGAGGGCGCGGAGGAGGAAGGGACTGGTTGTGGTGACGGTGGAGGCCGATGGTTCCAGTGGTGTGTTCAGCAGCGAGTTGATGGCGGTGCCGGGGCCGTAAAAGGCGATCCAGTCGGCTGAGTTGACGTGCTCGGCTACTACCACCATGCGCATCGGCTCGCCGGGCCAGGGCGCTTTGAGGAGCTTTCGAGGACTACCGGGGTAGAGAGCGGTGATGCAGAGGCCCGTTGCCGGCATGAGGACGAGGAAGGCCGTGGCGATGTGTAGCTTGAGCATGATGGCGGCGGCGAGACAGCCGAGGAGGGCGGCCCAACCCAGCAGCGAGGTGAGCTGGTAGGATAGGGAGGAGTGTGTCGATTGCCATGAGGAAAAGAAGCGCAACCAGCGGAGGCGGGAGCGAAATCCATCTGCACGGTGACTGCTGGACGGTGGAGGTGGGTTCCGGGAAACAAACAGGACCTGGAGGTTTTGGATTCTCAGGGCCGATTTCTCCATCTTCATGTTGTCGTGCCTGTTTTCGACGGCGGAAGGGGGCAGGGACTCAATGATCAAGCGGACGGTCTCGGGGTTCATGACATAATATCTGGCGCCAAAGCAGCCATCCATTCCCTCGAGGACGGTGGAGCGGCCGAAGCGGTCCAGGGCACATTCTTGCTGCGTCGGTGCATCTTCCAAGAGCAGACGACTGCCGGCGGGAGTCACGGGCCAGCTCCAGTGCGGGACGGCGGCGACCAGCTGGTGGATGTGAAGTTTCTGGGGGACATCGACGAAGTCGATGAGGGCCGAGAGGGGGAGGATGGCGGCAACTTCGGAGACCCAGGGCTGGCTGCTGATAAGGTCGGCGAGACGTTGGATGACCTGCTCGAACATGGTCGCTGCCGCCGTGGAATGCAGTTGCAGGTAGACAATTAGCCGGGCAGAAAGAACCGTCATAATGGGCGCAAAGACCCCTATATATAAGGAAGTACTAGTGAGCTGGTGGATCAAAGGCATGATGAGATAGACCCCTAGTACACTAGTGTATGGTTGAAGCCTTGTTGAATGAAAGTGGATAAACCGCTGCTGGGAGTTGAATTCTCAGACTGCGCTATTAGATGCAACAGGACGTGACGGCGTGTGATTGGACCGTGGTTTGATACTAGATGTCGTAGTTGCCTAGGCGGAGGTGTTTCGCCGCACAATCTGGTTCTGTCCTATGACACGCTGATAGACTCAATCACCTATGAAGATCCTCAATGTACCTACAGTGAAGTGTGTGATGGCCACCATGGCATTAGCTGAGTGAAGAGATTCGATCAACACCAGAGATCGATGGGAAAACGATGACCCCGGGATGTTGGAGCATGCAGGGTCAATGTTCCGGTCTCACATGCCATCAACCAATTTTTCTTCCAAGCCATTCATTGTGCTTCCGAAGCCCAGAGCCTGTCGATACCCTGCTTGCAAAGATACTAGATCGAAACTTGACGAGAAAACTTCCGGTCAAAGAATTCGATGTTGGCTGACGATTTCGGGAAGCAGTCGTTCTGCCTCCATGTTCTCAGCAAAAGGCAAGGCCACGACAAATAAAGAGCGGAATGTACGGAATGGAGAAGAATTTCTGGGCAAACATCCGAGTCAACGATGGGGCCAGTTGTGCACTTGGGAGCAAAGCAATGAATGGTTAAGGTAGCTATGGCATCAAGAACGTCTGATACGAGAAAGAGGCAACGATAAAACAGAACGAAGAAGAAAAAAATGGGTTCAAGACGCTCAAAACCCCCTAGCGTCGGAAGATCTTGCCGGCCGCTTTGATTTCCTTTCCAGCATCCTTCAATTTCAATTTGGCCTCTTTCAATTTGGCCGAGAACTTCATCTTTTTCTGAGACCCGTCGTAGTGAGGGTCATGTGCCTTTGCGGATGAGCCCGGTGGTGCATACACTGGAACCTCCGGTCCCGTCTCGGAATCTGGCGTTGCTCGCTTTAGCGGCCTCTCAGGGGGAACAAAGTTGCGAGTTTCGGGTACATTCGGGGCAGACATCGAAGGCCCCTGAAACAGCTCTGACTTCCTCGGGCCTGCCACCGGATGTCTCTGGAAGTTGTTGCTGGGGTCATGAGCACTGTTGGATAGAGGTAGATTCGGGGCGGACGTTGCGGGCCCCGGGAACATTTCTGACCTTTTCAGGTCTCCCAGAAACGAATCTGGCCTGCTTGAGTACCCCATGGATGCCGGACGTCTCTGAGAGCTGTTGCCGCGGTCAGTGGTACCAGCAACTGTGTGCGAAGAGGACCGCGGCGATGCCCCATACACATTGTCGTTTGTCTCACATTCCTCCTTGACTAAGCCGTTCCTATGGTAATTGGGGGACGTCGTTTCAAAAGATGACGTTTCCGAGCATGCCGCCGACTTCCTCCGATCCTCCCTGAGCTGCTCATCATACTTGGCGCATCGAGCTGCATGTTTCGCGGCGCGGGTTGCGTCGATCATCAAGACAGCCTGATCGAGCCCGTACGCTTTCTCCAACTCGTCCCACAACTCCAAGTTCAGTTCACTGGCCATGCGATCCAGCCCTTTCCGCTCGTAATACGCGATGAGGCGGGCAATGATGTGTACCTTCTTTGGGTGACCTGTGGCAAGTTTTGCTCTTCCATGAAGCCCATAATTCTTCAGGACCTTGGTCAAAATCAGTGCCCCTTGTGCAGGACTGTGTTCCAGCTTGCTATCGGCGTGGTCTGCCATGTATAACTCCCCAAGAGCAGTGTATGCTTCGAGAGTAAGCATGTAAATCCTGTGAGAGCCAACGTCGGCCAGTTGATCCAATACTGTGACCATGTCGAAGCGCCGATCTTGCTGGTTTAGCGTATTGGTGTCAATCTGACAGATCTCGCCCAGTGTTGTGACGAGCTCTTCGTGGGTGTTCTGAACCGCCAACCTGTCTGCCTCAATGTTGCCAGTGTGATTCTCCTCTCTCTGATGTTCACTCAGCTTGAGATGAACTAGCTTCAGTTTTCCTTCAAGCAAACTTTCCTTGATTGAGCCCTGCACAGTCCTGAATTGATTGTCTGGGGAAGTGTCGCCGCTTTCAATCACTCGCTCTTCGAGTATTTTGAGAGCATCCTCGATGAGGTCCCTTCCTTTTCCGAACTCGCGCATCTCTCCGTACAAGGCCCCAAGTCTTATGAGTGCGATTGACTTGCCTATGACGACCAGGGGCTCGTCTTCCAAAGCTGAAAAGTCTTTGATAACCCGGTTGTAGAGATCGATGGCTTGTTTGCGGACGATGGTGGTTGGTATACGCGCACAGACCTTGGCATAGTCCATGGTAGCTTGTAACGTCTCAATCTTTGTTGCCGACGCCACGACCCACGAATTCGTGCTTTGAGAATCGGCCGAAACTGGCTCACAGGTATACAAAGTTGAGAAGACCGCGTACGCCTTGCTATACATGTCTTTGGCCTTACCAAGCGTGCCTTTCTCGAAATACACGTCGCCAAGCAACCTGGCAGCCCTCGCTGTCATGAGATGAGCGGAACCACTAATCTTGTCGCAACCATGATAGGCGCGCTCGAATATCTTCTCGGCTTTTTCGAGTTTGAGGCGGTACAGATAGGCCTGTCCCAACTTCAAGCACGCATCAAGCGTCCTTGGGTGATATAAGCCAACGGTGCGGCCATAAGTTTCCACAGATTCTTCAAGCAACTTCTCGGGGTCCTCCCTTGGAGTATCTCGTCGCTCAAGAAGCTTGACGAGAATATCCGCATAGATGTCGCAAACATCCAAGGTTCCCAGATGACACTTCCCATGTAGACGCATATAACCATCCTGGGCAATTCTGAGCTCGGCTTCGGCAGAATGCAAGTTCTCCTGCTGCGTATAGGCCTGACCGAGTATTCGACGCGCTTCAAATTCATCGGCTTCACTGATCTTCCTGCCGTTTTTAGTGTTTGCGGCGCCTTGATGTTTATCTCCTCCGTACTGATCCAAGTTTTTGTTGAGCTGTTGGATCGCTTGTTGCAGCGCTTTGTCATGGGGTTTTACATGATGCAGACCCAACAAGACCAGATTGTCGAATGATCGGAAATACAGGTGCCGCATTGCCTGTAGATAGCGTCTGTTCTCTGGAGACCGCGGCTGATTAACGCAGACTTCAGCATCTATCATCCATTTTTCTGCACGTTCTGAGACGTTTTTGAAACAGTTTCCGGCACTAATGAAAAATTCGGCCTTCTGTTCACGCCTCAGCCTCTGGGCAAAGATCATTCCGAGCTCATGGATGGCTGACAGTTCCAGAATTCTTCCTTCCTGTTCGTGCAACCCCACAGCAATCTTCCGGACTTCTTGCAGATGTTTCTCTGCCTCCACCCACTTGTTTTGACTCTTGAACAGAACCCCGAGGTGATACCGAGTGAGACGAATGATAATGTGTTCATTTGTACGATTCCTTCCCGACAGAGCGGCGATTTTATCATCAGGTGATAACCGGGAGAGCCGACTAGCGAAGCCGTTGAATGCGCGCATCAAGTTCTTCTCAGCGAGCGAGAACCTGGATCTCAACAGGTAATTGACGCCAAGGTGCAGGGATGTGAAAAAGATCAATAAATGATCCCCCTGAAACATGTTATCGAATCGTTTAAGCGCTCGCTGATAGACTTGCGCAGCCTGCTCATCATGTTTTGTCTTGCCTTCAAAGTCAAGCCAGTCTCGCTCTGCCGAATGGAAACTGAAGCCTTCAACGTCCAGGTCTGGGAGAGAGCCGAATCTTCGAAAGGCTTTCTGGAACGTCCTGGCAGCTTCGTCAAATTTCTCCATCCCGATCAGCAGGAGCGTCAAGTCGGCAATGGCATTAAGCTCAAGACGGTACCATTTTTGGGCGTCGCGGAGCCTCTCTGCTTTTTGAATCGTTTGAGGCTCCTCCGACTGATCCATCGCTGGAATTGGACGAGCCGAAGTTGAGTTGGAGGCTCCGGGACTCGACGCTGACTGGCTCCTGGCCCTGTGACCACCTGGCTTTGTCGAGTCTCCTACTAGTACTCCTTTCCGCAAGTGCCCATGGCTGTTGGAATCATCCCACGTCTTTCTCCTTTCCAGTGTAGTCCTTGGGCTTTCCTCTGCTGAAGGGTCTGCTTCACCGCGTAATCTTGCTCTTCTATCGCACTCCTCCAAGATCTTATTGAGGATCACTTTTGCGCCATGAACAGGATTGCCACCGTCCGTGTATTGAAGTTCGTCATCGCTTAGCTTTTGAGCGGCTCTTGCATAAATGGTGGCGAGTTCGTACTTGCAGCTGAGTTGTTGTAGCAGATTGGCGTTCTCGGTACCTTGGTACTTCTCCAGAACAAACTGGTACAACATACGGGCGTGTTCAAACTTGCCAGCCTCTGCATACACATCCCCAAGAATCTTCATACTTGCGCAAGCGTGACCATTGGAACCAAACTTCTGGAACATCTCGGGTGAGTCCATTGTGTCAATGGTCACGCCGCGGTTGACGAGGTATAGGGCCGCCTTTTTTCTTCTTGTTCGAATGGCCTCAAAAAGCGTCTCGGTGTTCAGGGTGGACTCTTCTTCTTCAGTGGGATATCCCAAGGTCTCGTCATGTCCCAGTAATCTTACCGTGTCAAGCCATTTGGGCCGATCGTCAAAAGTCGCAGGTCGTTGGCCGTCAGCAGATTGGCTCTTCCTGTTAGCATCGTTGGCCGCGGGCATGTCCTTTCCGGTCATTTTGCTGATAGCGATTGTGGCATTCATCCCTTTAGTGTCCTTTCGCTCCTCTACGCCCATTCTGATCTTCAGCAGAGGAGAGCGCTTAGGCTCGGAATGTTCTTGGTCTTGATCTTCAACCACGGTCCCTATGTATCGGCATTCTACAACGCCATCTTCCTGATTTACCGCAAGGGGTGTAACCAAAAGTGATAAGGGATCAAGACGGTCAGCGGAAGGGTGTAAAAGTAAACACCGTTCCCAGTGAGATAGCGCGACGTTTATCTTGATAACGGCTGCAAGATCGTTGCCGTAAGGTTTCAGCCTTTTAACAGAGGAGCTGTCAAGGGTGTGACAGTACCAATGCCCATCGACGGCGCCGCTTTCGTCGATCGCGAGAAGGTCTCCTGATTTGTCGCCGCCTATATCAACGGAAGTGTCTACCGGCATGTCGTCGAGTGTTGCTGCACACCAGGAAAAGGCACCTTTGTTGCGCATTGTGGGTTTTCCGTGGAGCAGGCAGAAGTAGGGAATCTTGCCTAAGTACTGGAGAACTTTAATTGTTATTTCACTCTCTCCCTTGGTGAAGTCGCAGTCAGGAACGCCGGCGAGTAGTGCAGCGATAACGGTCCGGTCACGGACCCATGAAGTGCTGCGGGCAGACAGTATTGCCAGTAGGTCGCCGACATCGCGAACAGGCTGGCGGAGTTTGTTCACAAGCGTTGTAGCCAGCCAATGGGCGCGAGTCGTATTCCCTGGGCTCTGGGCAAGAACCTCTGTGTCCAAGTCTTTGTAGATAGGCTCCCCTCCGTTTGGATTCTTGAACAGGATCTTGACAGATTTTGACATGGACAACTCCAAAGCGGTCCAACCGCGAGTGAACCAAGTGGAGAGAACCAATGCCACGCAGGGGCTCCCATCAGTGTCCCAAGGGAAGTTGATAAGGGCGTTGTCATGTACGACTGTGTGTCTCGCGTTGGCGTAGTTGCTATGCATCATATTTAATGCCTTGCTGCGAGCTTTGGGCTCGTTCGGGATTGATAAAGCATCCCACCACACCGCTGTGCATTCTAGTTGCCCAGCGATTTTGGCAAAGAAGTCGAAGAGACAGGTGTTGACGGTGCCTGCGTCCTTCAATCCGACGCCGGTGCCATCCGACCAGACGTGGGAAATGGCAATGTAAGGGTCCTGGGAGCCGCTCAGCTTAGGGGTTTTGCATAGCCAGGCTGTGCTATTGCCCATTTCCAGTGCTGTTTCTAGCAGGTCGACGGGAAACTTCTTCTGTGTGCATTTCAAAGCATTGTTGCCACACTTGTGTAGCTGCGTAATCTTGGTGCTGTCCATGTGGGCCGATTGGCATCTGCTGGGGGTGCAAGATTCATGCTCTCGGTGATCAAGGCCACTACTTTTGATGGCAGAGACGATGGCGGGGAGATCACTTTGTTTTCTATCGCTCACGCCGACAAAGTTCCAAAGGCGGTTCTTGCAAAGGGGCAAGCGCTCCATGTACTGTACTGCGCGCTCAATATCCGGCAGTGTAACCTCGCTGGGGAGAAAATGGTGATTCCATCGACCGACTTCGGCAGGACCAACACCAATCTGAGATTGGATTTTGATCATCCAGTAGGTAAGATCGGAGACCTCGGCGAGGTCAATCGGAGAGCTTCCTGGCGAATCGCCATCCAAATAGGGACGGAAGCGTGTAGAACCGAGCGCAGGTCTAAGTAGACGGCACTCTTTGAAGATCTTGCACAGGCAGGATATAACAGTGGCGATATGAGAATGGGCCCGAGACACTTTCTTCTCGTCGCTCATGGCAGCTTGGCAAGACATGGTAACCAGAGCCCATTCTCTGAAAGCAGTCCAGTTGCATCGCGGCGCGGATCTATCCATGGCAGCCTTCTCATCAAGGCACTTCTGACGGCGGCAATCCTTGATGTTGGCATGAACACATATCTGGGCGAGCTGAGAAAGAAGACCCATGTCGAGGGCAGAAAGGCCGAGCTTGGGTTCAGTCACCCAAAGATCGGAACGGAAAGCCGAATTGGTACACGTCTCATCTTCGTCGTCGCTGCGGGGACTGGCCTTGATCAGGCGATGGTGAAACATAATGGCAAACACCGGTGCAGTGATGGCATTTGAGGCCTGATCTCGGCTTTCGACTGTCACGGGCGAATCAGACAGACTGGAATAGCGATAAAATGTTAGTTTAATGAAACCGGGCTTTATGTACTCGCTAGGATCCCTTACTTCTTTGCCAACAACGCCTCGCTCATTAAGGCATTGAAATCCGTATCTTGGCTCTCGGCCTTTACCGGGTGGTTGGACAGGCTGGAATAGTGGCAAATATTAGCCTGATGAAACCATGGCTGGGTGTATCCATCAGAATTGCTTACCTTTGTACATCTTCAGTGTTATTGGTGACATATTTGGTATTGGCATTCAAGGCCTGGTCTCGGTCCTGGGCCTTGACGGGCGAGCTAGACGGACTGGAATGGGGGAAAATGTTAGCCTAATGAAACCGGGACTTTGTATGGTTATTGTGATCTCTTACCTCTCTAAATCATCTGCGTTGCTGATGAGATCATCTTCCTCATCGAACTCGTCGTGGTAGCGATCTAGTTTGGATGGAGCCAGCATTCGATGGAACGCAAAGGCTTGAGCAACAATATCCCGGTCTGTATGCGACCCCAAGATACTGCCACTCGGCTGGAACAGTGCGGGAGCGGAAGCCATGGCTGAGACCGTACTCATCTTGTCGTTGGCCTTTGTCTTTGTGGGAAGCAGTCATGGGAACTCTCCATCATATACACAGCTCATGGTGTTGAGGGCTCAATGGAGCACCCCATACCAAGCTTTTTGAGCCTCATCAAACACGCTATCGTGAAGAGCGACATTCTCCATTGCTGTCCCCTGCTGAAGCGTTCAAGTTTTTTTTTCTTTCCCCTTTGCCGGTGCTGGCTCTAAGCTCGTTTGAGACGGTCGTTCGAGCCCAACACACGGGAAGCTTGACAAGGCCACGAATAGGACGGTTGATCATCGACTTGTTGCTTGAATGCGCTGTCAGCTAGAGTTCTTAGCGCAAAAAGGGTGTGTCTGGTGATGAACACGTCGATGCCGACTTGCGCTGGGTTAGGTTTTTGCGCAAGGCATGTACAGTAGTGAAGCGTGGCTGTGCATCTCGGAATTTGCAGCACAGGGTCTCTGCTGGTAGCTGAATGCATCTGTACCCAAAGGGTCCCCGCCCCCACACGTCGATGCAAGAAATCAATGGCGTCGTTCTTGGTAGGCCAAAAGGTGATAGCGTGAAAACGTAATCACAGCTGAGTTGAGCGTTGAGAGAGGACTAGAGGAAAAGAAACCATGCTTGAAACGTGGGTGGTCCCGCTTGTCCCTAACCATGTCAAGGAAACTCAGCCGCACTGATAAAGATCAACATGATGGCTCCCGCTTCCATCCGCCGACATTTCCAAACACAGACAGCAAGAACGATAGGATGTGCGATCATCTTTCGACAGGTGGTTCCTGCAAACAAAAGGCTCTGCCAAGCCGGTGAACTGGGAGGCTGATGGATGAAAACTGTGCAATGATCCTGCCATGATTGAATCGTAGAGGTGCCCATCAATATTGACGATCAAGTTGGCTAACCGGCAGAAAGAGTGGGAAAAATATCGACGGACAGTTTCAACGGATGGCGATGCCGTTTACTGCTCTATCAGCCACTTGGCAGTATCTGCTGCAGATCAGATAAGCAAACATCCCATTCAACGAACCATCTCGCATCCATGTGACCGTTCTCGGCCCATTCAACCTCAAGTCCTCAAGAGGAAAATACACCCTTCTAGCAGTGAACCTGTACTACCTCTGCGACTCACTCGGTTTGATTTTACTGGAGGAAAAAAGGAAAAAAGAATGACGTCGGGTATAATTGCTTCTGACCATCTGCTGTTGAAGAAAGGGTATAAAAGAAAGAACCGAAGCCAAGGACACATATCAACCTCTTAATGCTGCTTCAGTAAGGTATCGTGCTATCCCCTACATGTAGCCTGAGCTCGTCGTAACTGACGTTTTGAGTTTTGATTTTCAGCCCAAGTTGACTCACCTCTTCCTACCTAGTCTACGAACTCTGTAATTTTTGGGCTTCAACTCTATCTATATCCCTTATCGTGATGAAGAAAGGTACCTCTTGAGGTATGGAAATGACAGGGAGGGACGTGAGATGTAGTTAAGTAACTAAGGTAGCGTACGGATACATGAAGAACCCTAATAACAAAAGAATAAAAAACCGAACGTGAGGCTTGTACAACGAGGAAAGAACCAAATCGTAGACAGCTGCTGGTGGTGGTGGAAGGGGGAAGGGGGAAAAGGGGGGCTATGAAATTAAGTCTGGGTCGCACTCCTTCACATGATGAGCCATGGAACGAGGAAGTAGAACGGAATGACATGAGGTTGCGGTATGTGTTAGAAGCTACCTGCTAGGCAAATTGTCTCACCTGCTCCATGTCTTATGTACGAAACTGTCATGGGGCTGGCGCCCAGGGGTGTCTGCCTGGCTTAAACCCTATGTAAGCCAGGCCTGCCCTCCGGTTGGGTGCACTCCTGGGGTGCGCCGCTCGTCCGTCCAGTTGTTCCTTCCAGAGACAGGCATAGTACCATGAGGGGTTTGCATGATGTGGCTATCTCTGCCAAGCCTTCGGGGAAGAACGAAGCGGGAGCAGGTTACCAACCAGAATCATATCTCGGATGATCTTGCTTCGCTCAGGTGGAATTGGGTTGGCAAATGCGATACAGAAATTAAGCACCAGAACAGGACATAAGCTCACTCTCCTTGCAGGGCTGGCCCTCGCCAATTGGTTCAGAAACTCCAGCATCAAGGTCCTCCTCGTCGACAAGAAACCCGTGCCTACACGGCGAGGCAAAGCCGAAGGACTGAAGTCAACAACCAACGAGATCTTTAACTCGTATGGCATCGGACCTCAGATCGCAGCAGAGTCATGGAGGCTAGAGGAAATCGCCATCTGGGGCCAAAAGAAGGACAGCGGGAGCGGGATCGAGAGAGAGCAGCTGATCCAGGATAAGGTAGAAGAGCTGGGTAAGGTGCGAGCGACCATGTTGCAGAGAAGGAGCACAAGACCGTTGGGAACGAACGGAGCGACAGAAGGAACGATGGAACCCTTACAGAAACAACGTAGGTTGTTGGGAAGGTAGTATGTGAGATTCAGACGGATTATGATGAACTTCAAGTCAAGGAAATACAGTCCGACTCCATGTCCTAGAGGGAATACGGATAGAGCAAGAGGTGGGATAACATTTGTTAAACGTTTGTAATATACCACCTGTGATACTGAACCTCTCACATAGGTGGAAGAAACGAAGTGGCCCGGACAAGATTTATTGTGGATGAGCCGAAAGGACCTTTGCCAAGAGCATACCTTAGGAATGAATGAATGAATGAATGATGAATTTTTCGACTGCGTTTTACCAATACTAGATAATAAGTTGTGCCTGCGACGGCGGCGTGGCATAGGTACATAAAACGGGAAAAAGCCTCATAGGTCAGCTAGGTCGGACCTTAGCGTGGCCGTGCGCTGGAAAATCCCAACTTCTGTATGGTTTCGATAAACCCTTATTCTAGGCTCCCAAAAGCCTTCATTTTCCTATCCCCGGCATTGCGAGGTTATCGCCGTCCTTTCCGATGTTGAAATTAAAATGGATTGAGAAGAAAATTCCGATTAGAATGCAGCCCAGCCGTTTTGGGTCCAGCAAGCGGCGTTCTAAGGGGGAGGTTTCGAAGAGTGGTTGTCGCTCGCCCCCCGATGAGCTATCATCTCTCCGGTGCTCTTTCTTTTCGAAATACTTTTGAAGAGATTCAAAAGCTATCGGCTATGAGGGAAGAGACGGCGGTGAATTCTCCAAAGGCCGCCGTCGTAGTTGTTGTTGTTGTCGTTCGAATTGTATCTTCCCGAATTCAAAACGATAAAAAAGTGGTGGATTAGGCCACTGATAACCTTAAGGCAACCATTGCACTAAAAATAGGTAATTTTGGCTTGGCCTCTAACAGCCGACTAACAGAGGGTGCCAAGAAAATATTTTCGGGGGAGAGTTGGCATACCTTAGGAGACATGAAGTGGGCGGCGTGGCACGGGTATGGGCGGAGCCGCACGGTAGTCGGTTAGTGCCAAGTGGAGGAGCGGAACGGTACGCCCATGTACAAACGCGGCACGGGTAAGGCTGGAGATTGGAACAACGGTGTACCTTGTTCGTCCAAGAGAGGAAAGGGGGGACCATCAATGACTGCAAGTAGAATACCAAGATACCTATAACGCTCTGAAACACAACCTGTACAACGCTCACATGAGATCGGTTCCCTGCAACTGTCATTCGCCATCTAATCATCCTGTGGCTTCTGCGCAAGGACCACGCGCCACTTGAATTGTGCGTAGATCTTCTGCCCCTTGAGCTCCTGGCGAATGCAAGCAGCGTAGTTCTTCATCTCTTGTTCGGACCATCCCATAATCTGGCCGAGAAAGTAGTTGAGGAAACCTTCGATATCCTGCGTGAAGAACAAATGTGCAAAGAGACCAAGTTCTTTTTTCTTTGGATCAGTCGACCGCCCAAAGTCCTGAAAGGGGTGATGGTTAGTGAAATGTCCATCTCAATTTAATTTACGGCTTGGGTGGCTCAGGATGCCTCATTCCTCCAAGATACCGTATCTACTTACCGGTACCGGTGGCAACATCAAGTGCATTCTCGATATCATCCTTGAGAGGGGCCGTATGCAGCTTTCCGTCGAACATCAGGGTCTGGAAATGGTGGAAGATATCCAGCATCTCATTGGCTTTGGCGTCATTTGGACCCCTGAATTTCGAAACAATCATTAGCCTCAACTATTTCGTTGTGGATTCTCTGTTATGAACCAACATACCAATATTCCTGATCTGTAGCGGCATCACTATGGTACGTGCGGCCTCTGATCGTACGATACCTCATAATACTAGAGCTGATCGAAGCGGTTGAACTCTCGGCGTCGCTGCCTAGCGTCGGGTCGGCATCATCAGCAAGCGGAAGCTCCTATGCGTGTGTGGCAACTGTCTGTCAGTACTCCCCTATCACAAACCAGCAGCCTTATGCTCTGGAAGATGTCAGAGGAAAATTTATGAAAACCCGACGAACCTGCTCAGCCCAATGCGAGCCGGCTAAGAGACCAATGGGCTCTGAAGGTTCATCGGCCACTGGAGACAAGGGAGCAGGCGTGGGCGACTGGGCAGGACCTGGAGTAGGCGATTTTGTCCTGTTCGGAGAACTCATGGCTAAAGGATGCGTTTGGTTCGAGTTCGGACTTGGTGCAACGGAAAAACTCGAGTGTGAAAGGCTGCTCGTTATGAAAAGTGACAGCAATCCAGTAGATAGAAGAATGGTTGCCCCTCATCGAGCCCTTGCAGTAGGATGCACATGTCCTTGGGGAGGAGCGGTCAAACGTGAAGGTAACATCGCACGATCCTTTGGCCACAGCCTCGACCACTGTCTAAAATTCCCCAGCGCGACCTGCCAATTTTTGGTGGGCTAACGAGTAACGCTTCCGGTTATGCTGTTGTAGAGAAAGAATTGTTTTATAAGGTGATGGAAGTACCTTACTTAA